GGCCATATCACCATGTGTCCAGGTAGAATGACTGGAGGATTGATGCCACTGTGACAGTCTCCAGCCATGAACGTGAATGTCTGTGAGCACAAACCCATATTTTCATCTTAGTGTAGGATTTAGTATGGCCTGATCTATATATCTGGGGTAAAGTCTAAGTCCTTGGTGGGCAGGCTGTGTCTCAGAAGTCAGATAATAGTAAAATTACATGAGCAACACTATACTCTATGTTTTGTCTTCCTCAGGCTTCTGAACTTCTTGTGTTTAAGAATAAACAACATCTGTTTAAGAAAAAGCAATGAATAAGTGAATAAGCAAAGACTTTTGATCCTTTGCTTTCTGCCAGTGAAGATGAGCACACCTAAATAGCTGCAGGCTTGCCAGGGGCTGGTGCACTCATCTGAGATCTGTGTAGGTAGATCTTGAATCTTTGCAGAAAAAAAAGCTGTTGTACATGAGAGCACAGCAGCATGCTTGAGGATGTAGGTTTGCAATTCTAAATTTGAACCAGGATAGAAAATTCCTTGTTTGTTAATGCTTTTTCATTTGTGAAAGAAACTTGCATCAGCTATCAGAGAATTTCATTTGGGATCATTTGGGATCATGGCTGCACTGCACACATGTCCCATATAATTATATTAATCCCTATCTCAGTTTTTAAGAGCCAACCTTTGTTGTCTCTAATCTAACCTAAACACTGGCCTTCCATTCCTCTGAGAATGTGTCTCATCTGCACTTCTGGGGACATTACAGAGGGACAGCCCCTAGACAGGTCTCATCTGCAATCTCTGTCACTATCAGCAGACTTTATTAGGATCCCAGGATGCTGAAAAAAAATTTCAGGATATTTTCTGGGTATTTATTTAAGGATGCATATTAGTTCCTTTTTCCATTCAAGGATAAATGATTACATTAATGATCTAATATAGCATGGGTAATTTGTTTAAAATATTATTATTATTATTATTATTGTCATAATCATAATTATTAACATATCTTATTACTTCAGTTTTTTATGGTGGCATTATTATTATTATTATTATTATTATTATTATTATTACTACTGCTACTACTACTACTACTATTATTATTGTCTCTTATTCCCTCAATTTTGTATGGCAACAATTCCAAAGCCTTTCTATAACAAATATGTCTCGTAACTTTGGAGAATCCCAGGATACTATGCTTTGAATTGCTCAAAATAGATATTTTTTGAAACAGTGACTTTTTGAAACCATACCACATTTTTTATAACTCTGAAGCTTTCATTAAAAAGGACTGTAAAATCCACTGTTTGGGCAGGAAAGCCATACTGACATACAGACTTAGAAAATATCTTGCACTTGGCATGTACTAAATCTGCTTTTTCAGATTTATTGAAAATTTTAAACCATTCCTACTGTAGAAGGGAAAATCATCCTTGAATTTAGTCTTACTACAGCTGCAACATTAATGTGTTGATTGTTTGAGCTCAGTGAGAGAGAGACACTTGACAGAAGGTTCTTTGTATTTCCTTAATTTTTATTTTCTCTGTTTTAAAAACATATTTTCTTTTCATTCCCAGAATTTGGAAAGGAATGTGGAGGAAGACATATAGTGGAGATTTTAGGACAAACTGCAAGCTGGAAGACATACAAGCAAGGTGTTTTGTTTTATAAAAATTGTCATTTCCATTCCGCAAATGGAAACAATGAAAAAAATTTTGGAAAATGTAAAGAGGAAAACATGAATTTCTTCCAATGACTAGAAATACTGATAGACTTTGCTTTCTGCCAACAGATAAATGGAGTCTTTATTGTCTGTTACAGATTTATCTATCTATTCTGAAACAAAAAATAAATTAGCTTTTAATTCCACACATATATTTGAATATGAAATCATTACACTTGTTTCACTGTTTTCATTTTGATAGGTTTTCCACCTGCTGTAGTACTAGCAAAACAAGAAACAAACTTTATAATGTGAACATTAAATATTAAGTCCAAATACTAAGGATCTTCTCACTTTAATGCAGCTCTAAGCTGGCAATGAAGTCCAAGCTAAACTCTAATGTTACTGGCATAATAACATATGACAACTTTCTTTACAGCAACAATTAATGACAGATTCAAAATTATAATCAGAAATAAAAAAATTGAGCCAATTTGGCTCAGGTACATTTGTACCAACCAGGTGATTCCTATGAGTCTTCAAGCCTGAAAATGGAGGAGCAGAAATTTAACAAAATTCCTGTTTTATTTTGAAAGAAAATTACATCTCTGTGTAAAGCTGTTATGAACTTATGGACCAGGTGATCTTCTCCTTGGGACAAAGAACCATGGCTGCTCAGGAACAACCCAAGATAAGAAGAACCAAAAGATACCTGATGAAAATGTACTTTTGAAGGCACAAAGCAAGTCTTTACCAGCAGATTATTATGATTGTAAAAAAGACAGAGCTTCAGTTCCAGATGTGCTGTGCTCCTGACTGCAGTGGAAAACTTCTGCTTGATAAAGCTGGACAACTTGAATTTTTGTTTTTGTTGTAGATATAAATATGCATATATTATATGTGCCAATCCTTCATTTCTTTTGTTAAAATATAGGGAACTGGAAAAAAAAAAAGAGGGTTTCACAAGGAGCTATAAGAACGTGAATGGTTTTCAAAGCACTAGAGAGAAAAGGAGGCTATTTTAGGAATAAAGATAATAAAAGTTGGCATGTATTCCCTGTGCAACAGCAAAAAATCATTTATAGACAAAAACCAAGCAGTTGCAACTGAGTCTCAAAGACATTCAGAGCCACAAAAGTATATAAATAAAAGTTCCCCGAAGTTTTCCATGGGGGTGTACACCTTCAGCTTCTTCTCATAATGTTTATTCTTCCCCAAGTTTCCACTTTCCAAAAGAAATTAAAAAAAAAAGATCCAAGCCCATCCTGAAGAATGTAGAGGGAAAATTGACAAAGCCTATTTTGTAATTACCTTTTCTAGATTAATTTCATATCCTTGCAAAAAATGAGTGAGCATTTTCAGTCAGATCAGAACATTTATTTTGCTGAAATTCCATCCTTCTGAGCAACTTTTGTTGCAGATTCTCATTTCACGGATTCCCTCTTTTACAGAGAAAGGAAATTGAAAGAAAATGAGAAGTTCATAAAGGTAGACTGATTGACTGATACTGCAATATTAAATGCTTTTTCTTATTGCACTCCTTGCTACAGATTTGCCATATAGAAACAGCATTTTAAAGCAGAGAGAATTTAATTCAACAGAACCAAAAAGTGTATTGCAAAATGCCATATATTTGCATCTCATAAGGGATTGATCTAGTGGAATAAATATTGAAGCTGAAAGTCATTTAAGTGTTTAGTATTTTTCATTGTTCTTTATTATTCCCTATTCTTTTTTCATGTTCAATATTTGTGAAAAAAGTGATTTTTTCCAATCCAGAATTTCTAGTGTTGTATCTGTGTCTGTTAGCACTTAAATCTATGCCCAAAATTTCTTCTATTTTTTGGTACTGCAGATATAAACTACACTCCCAACTGGCCATCTTCATTATAGCAGCCCTAGGTTGTATAACATTTTTATTAAAATTACTTTTATTTTCAATAAAGAAATAAACAATTTTCAACCAAATTCCATGTAAAGACAGCTGCTTGCTCACTGAATGGTGTCCAGCAGCAACACAGGCACTAAAGGATTGGATCTCAGCAGCAGCTGTGGGGTGAAAAGAAAATGACCCATAGGTAATGCAGCTCTCTCTGAAGAACTAAGGGAGCACAGAAAATGCTCTCTATGCTCCACCTTTTTCCTTGTTCACTGCATTTATTTCTCTTGGAAATCAATTATCATATCCAGATACATAGAGAAAGGAACCTCCCAAATCAGAGGGCAGTAAGTATGCAAAATCTTCATTTTCCTTCAAAAGAGTGACCTGAAGATGCTAATTTTTGCACAATATTTTTTCTTCTCAAAACCATAACAATGTGTAGTTCTTGATGACATTTTGAAACCAAGACAATGAAAGCAATCATGGCCAGTCAGCAGTGAATCTCTAAAGCCACATGTGAGTATTTACAAAAGGGCATCTTCAAGACATGTAGCACTGCAATTCCCACCAGCTGTGATGAACAGCAGCAAAATCTTATGCTTATCTTAAAAACATTGAATATTTGTCAGAATAATGCTTACATGTTCACACTTTTTTTCCCTAAGTGTAGTGTTTATAGTAGTGTTTGAAATTAAACTTTGTTTCTGTTGAAACTCTAATTAAAAGTTATGTTTACAGAAAACTGCAAAGATGGTAGGCATTTGTAATAATTTGTGATAAATGTTAGGAAATAATCACTATCACAGTTTGAAAGTAAACCAAAATCACATGCGTTTCATTGGCCTTTGTAATAAATACTGGGAGAAGGGAGTTGCATTACTTTATTCTTTAATGCTGCAACACCCAGCCTACATCCCTGGTCAGTCCTGAAATATCTTCTGCACTATCTATAAGAAATTTATTCCTCCAGTGTCCTGATCTTTCTTTTGTTCATGTGCCTGTATAAGGGATTCAGAGATAAATGCACAAGCAAAGCCTGAAGGCTGAATTTACAGGTGTTCTGTAGCAATGAAAGAAATCTAGATATCATGTGCCAATCCTTGCCAATCTACCTTACCAACTTCCTTAAAATCAAAGTTTCATTTGGTGTGATGCTACATAAGTGAATATAATCCTGGTTAAACATAAAAAGGAAAGTAAGAATTTGCTTACTATCTCACCTGTAGCACTGTGCTGCCTTTGACATTTTGACCATTACTGGTAAAGTACTTGAAAAATACATGAAGAAAGTGGAAAAAAAAAAAAACAAAAAAGCCCCAGATTATTTCCAGTCACTGCAGACTTGAATTATTTTTGAAATGTTGATTGACTGATGGAAGTCTCTTTACTCTCCTGAGTGATGCAGAAATAAATCAATTAAACAACTCCATTTTGTCTTTTGTCCCTGTTTTTTATTTAAGTCATCATATCAAAGATAGTATCTCAGTAAGCATTGAGGCACTTTACCACTGGAGACCTTGGTGTTCAGATGCTGATCATTCCATAGTTTATTCCAGTTCATAAAATCATGAGTAACAGGGAATTCCTTGACAGATTTCCCCCCCATATATCCTCTGACAAAACCTGAATGTTTTCCAGAATGTCGACACAAACCTTGGTGTCCACAGCTTTCACAAGTTTCATAAAACCCGTGGCAAACTGCCTTTGGTCTGTCACATTGAGAGTCTCACTCAGCCTTGCTGACAGCTACTTGGAAGCTGGCAACTTTGAAGCAGTTTGCCTGGAGAAGAATCCCTGTAAAATGAGTGGGAAATGGGAAATGGAGTCAGGGTGAAAGTCCAGCCTGATTTCCAAAGGTTGTCCCAATGATTGGAAGGCTGATTCTGGTGTGCCTCAAAGCAGGACATGGACAGCTGCTCTTGCCTGTGCTGGTTTTCAGGATACAACAGTTCCCTGCAGTGAAGTGGGAGCTCGGGCGGCCTCCTAGCCCTGTGGGGTGTCCTCACAGCCATTTGGAGTGGCTTTCCAGCCCTTTGGGGTGGCCTCACAGCCATTTAGGGTGGCATCTCAGCCCTCTGGGGTGGCCTGTCGCCGTTCCCCAGCATCCACCATCACCCCGTGCCGTGGGGCCGGCTGGCTCCCAAGGCCCAAAGGAGGGAATCGCCCCAAGCTGCTGCAGCGGCTCGGTAGCGCAGTGATGCTGCTTTTTGGGGGAAGATGCTGTGGTGACCTCCTGCCTCACCAGCTTGTCACCTCTCAGCAGAGCAGAGAGGCTTCGGACAAGCTGGCCAAAATCCTCAGGAGGACACTGGCCCAGGTGGCTGCAGCTGTCCAACTCGGCGTGATGTGGCTCCCGCCTCGGCACGTGCCGGGGTGTGGGACATCCTGAGGGTGGATGAGGGCAGGGTGTGGGAGACATTTTATGCTGGAAGGAAGGACAAGGCACATGATGGTGGCAGGAAGGAGCCTGTGCTGGTGGTTTGTGACATCACCAGAGCGGCACCACAGCAACACTGGAAGGATGGGGACGAATGTTCCGCGCCGCCCGAGCAGCGCACAGGGGCATGAGGGCTGTGAGCCCGAGCAAGGGGCTGGCAATGCCACTGCAGTGAGGGGGCTGGAGCACAGCTGCCATGGATGAGAACAGATATCCTTTCCCTCTGCTGCCTTCTCCTCCTCCTCTCCCTTCCCTGTGACAGCTGCCATTGGGACCCCCGGACACGTCCCTTTCCCTCAGGCCTGGGCACACAGGAGGGTGACAGGGATGGCCTGGGGCAGCCAGTCCCGTCAGCCAGGGCTTGTTGATAATGTTTGGGGGGTCACAGTGCTGGGGGCATTAATTCCTTGGTGTTTCTCAGCACTTCCCACCGTTCCCTGCCTCTGCTGAGTCCCCTGGGCCTCCCCACATTTCCCTCCTCTCACTGCACCCCTTTCTGCACCCTGAGCACCCCCAGATCTCCTTCACACCCTCCCTTAAGCCCCTCTGGCCACTGCCCTCCGAGTCTCTGAGGACAGAGCAGAAATCTCTTCCCGCACACCTCAGGGCCTGCTGCAATTTCAGAGGTCAAAAGACAAGGATGTTCTAGAGTATGAGAAAAGGAAAGCACAATCTTCTTAGATTTAACAAAATTAAACTTCTCCCCCTCACCCCCCCATTAATGGGCAATTTCGTGGGCCAAATTCTTCCTTAACCTCATGTCTCATACGTGGTTTTGGAATATCATTCAGAATGATTTCAAAACTGGGAATATTGATTTTGAGGGTTGCATGAGGCTGCTTGAAAAAATGCAAATAAATTTTGATGAAGACCATTTAAAACATATTTTCAAGGTAAGGTGTATGTACAGTAAGCAATTAACAGTTTAGAAGTTCAGTTACACACATCGTACGTTTGCTGATTTTTTCAAGTTGATTTTTTGGAAAATATATATCGTGCTAGAGTGGCATGCAAAATCAGCAAAGAATTTTCCTCCTCCAGGTCTTTTGTTTCTGTGTAAAATAGATAACCCATGGCTTGCATTTGAATCATAATCATTTAGATTGGAAAATACCTCTAAGATCACTGAGTCCAACCATTAATTCATTGAAAACTCCACCTCTAAACCTTGTCCTTAAGCACTACATCTACAGGTCTCATAAATGCTTTCAAGGACTGGTAACTCAGATGCTTCCCTGGACAGCCTGTTCCAATGCTTGACAACACTTTCAGTGAAGAAATTTTTACTAATAGCCAATCTAAACCATCCCTGGCACAATTTGAGTCCCCTTCTGCTTGTCCTACTGCTTGTTACTCAGAGAAGAGACTGACATTCGTAACTCTGTCTTTTCACCACAATGAATTAATTTCAGATGGAAAGCACATCCATTTTGATTCCCAGATTTTTTGTAAATTACCAGACTTGAGAAAAGTTAAAACAATCTGGTTTTATCCTATTCAGCTTCTTCTGTGATCAAGCTAATGAGCCCAGTGTGTCTGTCTGCTGCTGGGCAGAGCCATGAGAGCAACTTCCTCAAAATCCTCTTGCCAGGAGGACAACATGGACTTGTCTGAGCTGCTCAGGCTTTAGATCCAGCACACATTCTCCATCCTCCACTACACCTCTCCTGTAGTATTTAAGAGGTGTTCCTGAATGGATGGGAATTCCACTTTAACCCCCAGGGAAAGGATTTGGCCTTGAGATGTGGCAGTGTTTAAGAAATTTCCATGAAGGTTACACCATCCAGCTAGAAACTGGACTTAATAAATTAATTTAGTGTAGGTAAGCAAACTACTGTCAAGCAGATCTTGTCTGTGAGCAAATACTACAAAACTGCATGCCTTGGCACATACTGGGTGTACATGTTCTTCATGTAATGACTCACAAGATGTAAGGTTTTCCCCTTTACCTCATTTTTTCCCCCAAAACAGCTGTCTGGTCATGCTGTTTCCCTAAGGGAGTGAAAACAAGTGTGTGTATAGATATATATAAATATATGTATATTTATTTATTTATTTACACACACACACACACACACACATATATATATATATACATACATATATATATATACATATATATATATACATATATATATATAAAAAATTCTTTTGAGAATGTTGCAAGCAGCTGGCTGACTCTGTCTTGATTTGGCAGAGGAGAATTTACTATGGCAAGTCAGAAGCTTTTAGGTCATGAGAAAGAAGGCACTAAGTTTTCCTCACCCTGTCTTCCTCTCTCATTGTTTGCCTTGTCAAGCCAAGGTAGAATCAACAGCATGAGATCAACCCTGGCTAGAGAAGCTTCCTGTGGTTTTGGAACTTGCAATGCAAGGAGATAGTTGCCAACCTAGAAAACCTCTTGAGAACTTAAAAATACCTCTCACTGTCTATCTTCCCCCTACTTTGGTTTCTGAGAGTGATGGTCAGCTGTGGGTAGAGAAGAGAGGAATAATTTGTGGGAAGTGACCTGCAAAGAACAAGTCTGCTCTAGCTGTATTTAACAACCTATTATACCCAGTAGTCTGATCTAGTTATTTATAGCAGTACTGTTAGGTGTTCTTTGCTATTTGAGAAAGATTTACAAGTGTTCAGTAGTTTGGGGGGCTCAAATATTTAATCAGTGTCATAACATGTAAAAATTCAAAGCATTGTGGGAGGGACTCTTACAGACGTCATTGTCAGTAACTACAGATCAGCAGTTAATCTAATGGTTATACATAACAAAAAACATTTTCTAGAAAACTAATTTTAAGGAATAATCTCTTTGAGTTTGTTTTACTGTAATACTCTTTTGAGCAATATGAACATTAAGGTTTAAGGAATAATAAATTTTCATATAATTTCTCTCAGAACTCTTTGTCTCTTCTTTTTCTGAACAACAAAGATTTGATGTGCATTAATAAAAATAGGAATGATAAAAATCTACCCCAAAAATTGTAGGAATATCTTTTTATAGTGGCATGATTTTTATCACTTTAATTTGGAGAGCTCTCTTGTGTAGTATTAATGCCTGTATTTCAACAAAAGGCAACTAAAATAGAAACTTTAAATTTTTGCCCAGCTTCTCTTTGTGCCAGTAACTAAGTGAACATCTTCCAAGCCCTGATAGACTGTTTATTTCCAAAATAAGTTGGTATTTTCTGTTCCTGCTTAATGGTTATGAGCAAATTTATCACATTGTTATGAACATTAAATATTGGATTGAGGATATTAACCTTAGATGGGGAATTTCTCAGCAGTAATGAAATGTATATAATTAGAATTTTTACATAAATATTTTCTTGCTAGTGATTTCTGTTAAAAATGATCATTATTATTCTCTTTCACAAAATCAAAGTGAATACTGAAGCACTGATTTGTAAGATTTTTTTCACTAAAACTCCCCATGAAATTTAATTTTGTACTTGTTTTAATTATCTAATATATTTTTACTCCTATTGTACTTATCCAGAGGTACAGTAGGAACTGTACTGTATAGGAAGGAACTGGCAATGGATCATTAAACTTGTAGGTTTTCTGATATGGCTTCAAAACCAATCTAATTTAGCAGTAATCCAAAATCTTGATCAAAGAGCAGCCAGAGCTCAAGTAAGCAATTTCCTGTTTATAGACACTTTTGTGCAAGCCAAACCAGCCATTGGAAGTGCCGTATTTTGGATGCTGGAACTTGGCCTCTTTGGCAGTCTCAGTTTAAGGAGCCAACAATTAGGAATTTTCATCAGTTCACAGTGATGATCACTGAGGCAGTGGATTGCCATTTGTGATTTTCGTGAGCAATTTTGTCAGCAGATTTCTCTTAATTTGGCAACTTTTAAAAATTATTCAGGCTAAAATATTAGAAACATTTATATTTCATATGCAGCTACTTATTTTGGGTAGAAAATTTTAAGGGGAAAATTAAATTAAACCTGAGAAAAATACAAAAGGCAGAAAAACTATTAGTCTACTCAAATTCTTTTGCCCTTTTAACTTTTCTTTTGGCTTTACTGAATAAACACTGAAATTAATTACTATGCTAACATTTTGTTAGCTCTCTGAAAACAAACTTACAATTCAAGAATTCTGAGAGTGTGAATAATTAATCTAAGTTAAACATTTTGGCTTGTTAAGAGTAGAACATGATCTCATAGGTTATTATAAAATATCATCTTCAAATTTTTAGTGTTTCTTATTTGAAGTGTTAAAAGACTTGTATCTCTTGAGAATTTGGTCATCCTTGTTTCATTTTTAAGATTACTGGTGCTGTTTTTTATGCAAATTTCACTGACAGTATTTACAATTTGGTGCAAATAGCTGTTGGAGAGGTATTACACAAAATAAATTTTCCACTTGATAAGTTTTATGCTGCACATTTATTTTAATGCATAACATTTTAGATATTTTCTACCACATGTTTTAATATTAAAAAGGCATTAAATCTAAATTTATGGTATTTATTTAGATGCTAATTATGTCATATGGTCTATTTTACTTTATATAAAATATTTGTAGCACACAAAGTGTAATCTAAAAGTTGAAGAGTTCAATCTGATTGTAGCCACTGTTGCCTGAGGATTCTTTTATGATTCTCACTCCTGTGGTCAGTTATAAAAATTTTTGGTGTATAACTTTGTATATATGCATTTTTTAAATTGATGTTTAAAAAAATTTCTTTTGGTTGCTTTTTTTCCTCAGAAAACCCTTGACAAACACTCAGGAGATATAATTAGCATGGATGACTTCAAAGCAATTTATCGAGCACTTGTACACAGACCTGAATTTGAAGAACTGTTCAAGGCTTACTCAATGGATGGCAAAATTCTACCTGATGGCCAGCTCCTTAAATTTCTTGCAAAAGAACAATTTCAAACTGAAGCTAATGAAACAACTGCTTTAGAAATTATTATGAAGTATGAACCCATTGATGAAGGTATGCACTGTTAAATTATTTGATATCTAGC